ATATATTTAAACATTCACATAATATGTGAATATATGTAAACCCCTCGGCAGCCCGGAAATTACAATAACTAGGCTGAAAACTGAACCAAATCCCGTGATCGGATGTCATCAGAACTAACAATGACCTTTAGATTGGGCTGTCTCGGAAAATTTGTCATGGCCACCGCTTCAAGAAGGAACATTTTCATCCGCTTGCTCGGTCTTCTGGTCATTGCATCGTTATTTACTTCGTATCTAATGTTCGTACGGGTCAACGCTGATGTTCAAGGGGTTCGTGTTACTCGGAAACAAACGCAAAAAGATGTAAAAATGGCGACGACGAGTTCAGTCAGGAAAATATCCGAGCGACGCGAAGCTCTTGTGGAATCACAGCGACGGATTCGATCTTCTGGCTCAACGTTTGTACGAGGAGATTCACATATTAAGGACAACAGGAAACACCCAAATGCACTAAAAGCAGAGGGAGACAGTCTTGCACCCGTGAAGAAATCAAGTTTGTCAGTTATTAGGCGTTTATTCAGAGATAAACGAGCACACAGAACCTTTCATCGAATAGGAAATAGCAGCACGACCAACACACCTACCGACGCGCGAAAATACATTAAGAATTTAAGGTTAGTCATCGGTGAAGCGTTTAGAGATAAAAACGCCGCCATGCAACGTAATATAACTAAGAGCGTGACTGCTGCGTCAGGCGCAGGGACAGTTCTGAATAATTTGTCCTCTTCAATGCTCGGTTCATTCCGAGGCGATGCGCGCAGAGCTGATCAAAAGCCACTGGAATCTAAACGGGTAACTGTCTTGACGAAGAAACCTGGTTCAACTCGGAATGGTAACTCATCGTCAGTTCCTGAATATGGTCTTAGGCACAACACCAGCGCAAAACAAACGACGGTACAAATTGGTAAACAATTGGAAGATGGAGGCAGATCTACCCTAGCAGACATCAGCAAACCAACTTCGACCCCGCACGAGAATTCTTCTGTTATTGGCGATTCGTTAAGAGTCAACAATGGCGGGCAAAAATCTCTTAATAAACGGATTGAAGATGGACGCGCAGATATAAGCAAAACTGCAATGGCAAACGTGACGAAACCCGAGCCAGCCCCACGTAATAACTCTCAAGTTGTTGGAGACGCATTCAGACACGTCATCGACGCGCGGACAAATGTCAGAAAACGCGCACCTTCAGGAATGACTGCAGTAGGAGCGGAGAAGAAAACAAACGTATCTCTACCTGTTAGCACGTTGGGTTTTGGCCGAGTAGTAGCTGGTATACGCAGAGAACCCGTGAAACAGAAATTGGGGCAAGTCGATGACATTGCTACACCTGGGGACGTGACATCCTCTAGAACAAACCTTATCATTGTGGCGCAGCCACGGACCGGTTCATCGTTTCTAGGGGATGCTTTCAACCAACATCCAGACGTCTTCTATTTATTTGAGCCTCTTCATGGAATTGTTAATAGCCCGTTGCAGCATCTCAAGGACCCCAAACCGATGCAATTCCTTGCAGGGATGTTACGTTGCGAGTTCTCCCAGTTGACCTATGTTAAACAAATCGAACGCTTCCGACGGTTCTCCAGCATTGCCTTGTCCTCTCCACCACTGTGCGCTAAAAAGACGTTTTTTGGCACACCACGAAAGAAATGCGACCTCTTGAGCACGAGGAATATGGAAGCCGTCTGCAAGTCGAATTATAATGTAACAGTCATGAAAATTCTCACACCTAGAATACCGAATGGGACGGTCAACTCGCTTTTTCCTCTTTGTAACTCAACTAATTGTACGATTATTTATTTAGTTCGTGATCCCCGACCGGTAGTTTTCTCGCACATGAAAGTTGGTATGCAAACTTGGCAGAATTTTAAAATCCTCGGTGCAAACGACACTGCTCCTCGCCCTTCAATAAAAATGTACAGCGCCAGGGTTTGCGAACAAATTGAAGCGAATGTTAAGATATTCAAAAATCTTACTGGCTGGATGAAAAGTCGGTATCATATGCTCCGCTACGAAGATCTAGCTGGAAACCCAACGGAAACGTTACGAAGGGTGTACAAAATGGCTGGACTTACAATGGTGAACAGCACCCTCGAATGGATTAAACTTCACACAACAGGGAGAGGGGACAGCTCTAAAAACAATTACTCGACGAAGAGGAATTCTGAAGCTATTGTCGATAACTGGCGGCTTGAAATTGATCCTTGTGTTGTTAATATCATCGAACACACTTGTCGCTCTGTTTTGCAACTGCTTGGTTATAAACCTCTAAATGGGTCTGAACAAATGCAATATAACCTAAACGTGTCACTTACCGACGGACAATAACCGAGATATTAGCCATTTTTTAAGCTATTTCTAATGACATTGATTTGTCTAATACTTTGCACATTTCAAATATCCTTGTAATGTTTTCGAATATTCAGGTCAGGCCTGTCTGGTACATGGGCTATTACAAATCGGGTACATTGATACGACACAATCTGAAGTGAGTTTTTATTAGTCGTGGTTACGAATTTTCCGTCAGAAAATTTGCATTAAGCCCTGAAGGCGACCAATCTGTAGGTGGCTTGGGGCTTAAGATACCATTTCAAACGGAGTAGGCTCGATTACCAGCCGCTGTTCGCGAAAGGAGTCCGCGCTAGTAGACCGGACTCGAGAGAGCGGCGGAAATCGAGCCTAAAAACGGGAACGAGAGCGTTTTTTAATTGTTATCTCTTCGAGTGCACCCTACAAGATACTTTGACACCGACAAATAGTGGCGTTCCTCCTGAACACCCTAAGTGAGGCTGTTATCCTTGATTTACACCCCTAAGCGAGACGACGACCATCCCCGACCTTTTCATGTAGGAAACTATCGCACTCAAAAGTAAAAGGAGTTTTTAAGGTAAAATGATGAATAAATACTATTTATTATTTTACTTTAATTACAATAACACAGGTGAATAAACAGTCACTGGAAGTTCACGGAACGAAGTGATTAATTTATTCGAATCATAACAGTCACGCAAAGTGTCAATATTAGGGGTGGCGGGTGGTAAATGCGAGACTTTGCGAGACGATGAGATTAGCGTTTTTCTTTGCGAGCCCGAGACATTTTGATTTCTTCAGTTGCGAGACCGAGACTTTAAAGTATTTTAAATGCGAACTCAAGACGTTTAGGTTCTAAGATGTTGTAATGTCATTTAACTTTACTAAAAAAAATAAACAAATCGGTACTTCGCGACTTTCTTAGCCTTGTAAAAAATCGAGACTGCGAGACGCACATAACCGCTAAAAAACGAGACTGCGAGACCCGTGAAATTCGGCAAAAATTTTTGCGATATCCATGGTTTTCGAAGGACCACTCGCCACCCCTAATATTAAGGTATCAGCCAACCCACCGGGGCCGTCTGCGCGCGGATCGTTCTAGCGCTCTTTGTTTCAACAAAAACCCCTATAAACCGTATATTTTTTGAAAGCTGAACAATCATGATTACAGCTAATTCCCTTTAAAAGGTATAAAACTATAATGCGCTTAAAAA